AATCACAATAGATAGTTGATCCCCCACACTCTGACGACTTCCAGAAGGTTACAATTTGAAGACTTTCACGTAGACTGATGAAGGTTACAATCTGACGACCTTTGCAACAACTGATGAAAGCTCTAATCAACAGCCTTCACAATCAACATCGAGAGTTACAATCTGACGACTCTCACATATCAAAGAGCTAAAGAAAAGATTACGAAACGATGATCTTTGCAACGCTCTGACAGAAAGAGACTACAAATCGACGGTCTTTTCAAACCAAGACGTGGAAGTCCTCCCCGCACACCAGCATCAATATGCGCCGCGTTCATAGCCACGAACGCAGCTCAAACGCAGCTTCTAAAGCAGCCAACGTAGCTTCTACCCGCTGCCAAACGTAGCTCTTAAATCCTGCCAACGCAGCTTCCATCCGCTACCAAACGCAGCTTTCATCCGCTGCCAAACGCAACTTCCATCCGCTGCCAATCCAAGCTGCCAAACGCAGCTTCCAACAAGATGCCAACGCAGCTTCCAGACACTGTGTTCAAGCTTCCAGACACTGCGTTTGAACACAGAATTCACACCAGAACACGGATTTTGCGTTTGACTCGTTCAAACACGAGTTGAACAGTTTCAAAACTGTTTCCCACGATCTGAGGGGATCACAACTCCACTCAGGAGTGATTTAAGGGACGGTTACATCCCATTATCCCCACTTAGGAGCGAATTAAGGAGGTGGTTACACCCCTTAATCCCCTATAAATAACTAAAAATCAATTCAGTTCAGGGGTTCGGTCTGCTAGATCTTTCATCCTTCTTTTTGGCAGCAAAGAAGAGATCCTTGGCTGGTCTAACCAATTACGGTTAAGATCAATCAACTCATCAAGAGTTCTAAAACTTGCCACGCAAGTTCTCCACAACGTCAAATCGTGAGGAGAAGATCATGTTCCAGTGAAATAGATATTCGGATCGTCAACGAGAAGCAAACTCGACGCGAGCAATCGAGGGAGGCATCTCATCACCACCGTGAAGAACCCAGAATTAAACAAAGGGGAGAATCCAGATCATTCTCTTCTCTTTTGTAATCATAAAATCCAATTGTAACTGAGAGTAAAGGAATACAAATTAATTTTCCTTTATTTCTTTTTACTGCAAATTTTCCCACAAACAATGTACAAGGATAGGGACAATGCCAAGGATAGTTAAAGCAGTGTGAGTAGCACTAAGGATGCAGATGGATCCGAGTATATGGATTTGGAGGAACTTCCAGATGGGGGTGACAACGTCAGTTCTGACCGAAGAACGGACTCTAGGTGCAAAGGCTACTACCCAGGGCGTGGATCTTAGGAGGTCATCCAAGGTACCCAAACCGAATCCCAGTTATCTCTCATTACTCGATTACTTACATTTGACAAATAGCGGAGGACCAAAGTGCTATGATGAGGCTATGCAAGTGAGTGAATCTCAGCAGTGGGAGCATGCGATGCAAGAAGAGATGGATTCTCTATACACTAATGAGATATGAAAGTTAGCCTAGCTATCTACATAGAAAAAAGCCTTACATAACAAATGGGTCTATTGGGTCAAGCAGGAGAGTGATAGAAGCAAGAGGTACAAGGCCATATTAGTCATGAAAGGGGTTCCAACAGCGGGAAGGAATGAATTATATGATGATATTTTCCCTGTTGTTAAGCTTACAACTATCAGAATGGTGTTGAGCTTAGTAGCTATAGAAGATCTCTACCTTGAGCAGTTAGATGTGAAGACTGCATTTCTTTATGGTGACTTAGATGAAAAAATCTACATGAAGCAAACTGTTGGCTTCATTGAAGAAGGAAAGGAATAGATGATGTGTAAGCTTAAGAAGAGCTTGTACGGATTAAAACAAGCTCCGAGACAGTGGTACAAGAAGTTCGATAACTTCATGCAGAGCAATGGTTATGGAAGACACAATTCAGATCATTGTTGCTACTTCAAGAGTTTCGAGTCCAGGTATATCGTGTTATTATTATATGTTGATGACATGTTAGTTACAGGATCATGTTTAGAAGAGATAAACAAATTAAAAAAGCAGTTGGCAAAGGAGTTTGCTATGAAGGATCTGGGTGCAACGAAACAAATTCTTAGGATGTGAATCAGTCAAGATGAAGCTGAAGGGACGTTAAAGTTGAGTCAGGCTGAATACATCGAGAAGGTACTTCAGAGGTTCAACATAGAAAATGCTACGCCTGTCGACACGCCCCTTGGAAGTCAGTTTAAGTTATCTAAGGATCAATCATTTAAGACAGATGAGGAGAAGGAGCACATGAGCAGAGTGCTCATAGTCATCAGCCATTGGTAGCCTTACGTATGCGATGGTTTGCACGAGGTCGGATATCACCCATGCAGTGGGAGTTGTGAGCAGGTTTGTAAGCAATTCAGGGAAACGACATTGGGAGGTCGTGAAGTGGATTGCATTACTTGAGAGGGACTACGGATATGATATTGTGTTTTAGGAGGAAGGAGTTGGTACTGCGGGGATACGTGGATGCAGATTTTGCCGGTGATCATAATACGAGGCGAAGCACCACGGGGTATGTTTATACATTGGCATCGACAGCAGTGAACTGGGTCTTACGTCTGCAGAAGATAGTAACATTGTCCATGATTGAGGTAGAGTATGTCGCAATGACTGAAGCCAGCAAGGAGATGATTTGGTTGACCGGGTGCCTGGAAGAGTTGGGTTTAAAGCAGGGAATGACATTCTTTATTATGATAGCCAGAGTGCTATACACCTTGCCAAGAATCCAGTATATCATGTCAGAATAAAGCACATCGACGTACGATACCACTTCATACGCTCGCTGATTGAGGACGACAAGTTACGATTGGAGAAAATCTTTGGAGAGCCAAAATCCTGCGGATATGTTGACGAAAGCAGTGACTATCGACAAACTGGAGTTGTGCGCAAATTTAATTAGCCTTCACGCGTTGGAGATGAAGGCGGAGCTACACTAAGAGGATCGGCGGGACCACCGAGATGATGATGATTGAAGAATGTATTTATCCAAGTAGGAGAAGATGCTTGAGAAAATGGCAGGTGTTCGGGAGAGCTCGTTGATGGCGGTTTGATCTCCAAGTGGGAGATTGTTAGTCTCGAGAGTGTAGACCAAAGCTGGAAGCAAATCAACGAAGAAAACTGGAAAAACCCAGTTCGGTCGACCAACAGGCTTGGTCCGGTCAACCACGATGCCTGTAGGAAACAAGCATGAGAAGCTCGCTCTGGCCGGTCGACTGACAGGGATGGTCCGATCGACCGAAAAACCTATAGAAATCCGAGCCCAGAATCGAGCTCTGGCCGGTCGACCGACACAAGGACTCCGGTCAACCGAAAACGTGCACGAGTAGACCCTGTAAATTTGACACTCTGGTTGGTCGACCGAAGCCCTTGGTCCGGTCGACTGATGTCAGGATTTTTAGTTTCCTGATTCGTTTGGGATTCTTTTTTTGGGCTGGGTTTATATATATCCTAATAGGTTTTTAGGGTTATGTTAACACGAGAAAAGAGAGTTTTGACGGCTATTTGAGAGAGAGATCTCAGAAAGATAAAAACTTATTTGTGGGCATTGTAATCTTCTTCAATTAATCAAAAGAATTGTGTGGTGTGGCTCCCGAGGACGTAGGTACGTTTGCTGAATCTCATTAAATCTGGTGTGTTCCTTCTTGTTTGTCTTTCGTGCAATTTTTCTTTTATTTGCAGTGATTTTCCTACTCTTTAAACTCTTAGCACAAGATCCGGAAGGTCACGGGTTCGATTGATTGTTTCGAATCCCCAACACAATCCTACTGTTTCAAGAATTTTTCTAGCATGCCTTCTACATCACATTTCTTATCATTGGTCTACAAATATCATTCATTCTTTTTCTTTAAATCTTTATTATGTTTTGTTGATCTCGGCCTTTTATCTTTCTCTTAATCCACTTCTTTTATTATCCAAAATTACTCATTTTTCTTAATTGAGTGGGAACAAGAGCAAATCCACCCGAACCGATTTAGTTTGATTTGATTCCAAACCTAGAACCGTTCAGTTCGGTTTCATCAAGAACATTTTCAAAAACTATCCAACTGAATGTTTGCCCACATTTATAATTTATGACATGCATAACACTTTTGAGGATCCAATATTATGTATTTACTTTCCACAAATCGTCCCCTGAAAATTTTCAGGGCATTTGTAATTATCTTTGAAGGAAATCATGTTTTTGGCATCTCTTCAAAAGAAAGGGGTGAAGATCTGAAGTGTAGAAAAGCTGGGCAAGAGAAAATTAGCAGGCTCACTTCTGCTCGCAAATGAGGTAAATAAGTCGTTGTTGGGCTAGGCTGGTCAAGTCCAATAATGAGTTGTTGGGCCCAGAAATGTATTAGGTAGCGCAGGTTAGACAAACTATGAGGGCCATAGCCCAAATCATCAACAAACATAACTAGTATTCTGGCATGTTATATAGTTCTGTATAACCGAAATTGTCTTGTTAACACCTTAACAATTAACATATTTACGTGTATAACAAAAGGTTACAGAAATAATAAATAAGTATAAAGGACATATGAATTTGAAAGGTAGGGATAGATATGAAAATGAGTATGTTCTGCTAGTTATGAAATAGTGGTGCTAATCATGGATTATATTGTTGCTTGTTTTGTTAAAACTTGTCCTTATGTTAAGTCGCAAAATATTGGAGGTTTTTTTTAGGCAAAAGATAGGGGGTTATATTGTTGCTTGTTTTGTTAAAACTTGTCCTTGTGTTAATGTTTGTGATCCACTCATTCAAATAGGAGACTACATTCATATGGATTTGAGATTGGATGAGAATGAGACACATCACTACTAAGTGCAAAATTTATGTTATATATGAGAAAAATGTGGGAACCTGGTACCAAACTCAAATTTTGTGCTTGGTAATGAGGTGTCTCACTCTCATCCATTCTCCAACTCATGTGAATATAGTCCCCGATTTGAATGAGTCACTAGTAGAATTCGTAGTATTGCTGACGGCAACATCCCTGACGGGAGAATGCCGTCGGCGTTGTTTATATCCCTGACGGGAATAGCCGTCAAGGATGTGGCCGTCGGTAATGGAAATTTCCCGTCAGCGATGTTTACATTGCTGACGGGAGGTCCAACATCGCTGACGGGGTGCCGTCAGCGATGTTGAATTATTTTTGGTGGGGATTTATCCCTCCAAAAATTTCATTTTTGCTCCTGAAATTCGGGTCCGCCTCTCTCAGTTCGGATTTCCCATGGAAGAAACCCCCTGCCCTCAGCTTCGCCTCCCCCAAAACCTCTTGATCCGCTCCCAAATTTCCTCTCTCCCTCTACACGAACCCTACCCCCAAAACGACCTCCGCCTCCAGTTCGACCTCCGCTCTCCAAATCTCCTCTCTCCAGCTTTCCAAATCCCCAAATCTCCTCTCTCCAAATCTCGGTTCGCTATTGCCATCACCTCCCGCTCCTCTCCGACTCCACCCCCGGCGCGTCGAGGCCCCGAACCCCAGTCTCCACTTCGTCGCTCACGGCGGCACCGAACCGCTCAGACTCGCAGTGATTTCTCGCCGGACTCGCCGCGGCACCGCCCCCGAGCAACTCGCAGAGACCTCCGTCAGTGATTTTTTAATTTTTTTTTTGTGATTTTAGGTTTTGTTGTTTCTTATTTGAGACTCGATTTCTTGGATTGCTATGCAGGAGATCCAAGCTGATCTTACATTTCTTTTTTGAGTGCTGTAGTTTTGCATCTTTTTGAGTTTGAAGCACTTGGATGCATATTATTTTCAACCGAACAGGTTCATGAAGAGGTAAGAATTTGAACCAAAAAAGTAGGGTCTTTTTCAATATTGCTTGGTCTATATATCACCTTATGTTGGTGTTGTATACAAAGATTTCATTCAGTAGGCTTCTAAGATTTCAAATCCATTTGAAAGAAATTGACAGTCACTAACTTATGAGGGGCTAATACCTAAAAGTTGTAATGAAATGATACTAAGTTGTGAGCTTAAGCCAGAAATGGAAAACATTCTCTAGCATGTGGGACAAAGAGGTGTTAGTGTCTGCGGGTGAGTGTACTTGTGTGTGAGTGCCTGTGTTTGTATCTTGTCGTTGCTGGGTGAATTCTGGGACGGGAGGGCGAGGTGCAAGCAGGCAGTGTATGGATGTATGATTGTGTTGGAATAATCAACTTTAGCATTTATGGAGGTCACTTTGGATGTCAGTGGTATTCATGTTTCACGGATGATGCAATTTACTCCAAGGAAATAGCTCCTTCAAGAACCTTCTGCATTTATGAAGAGGTTTATATACAATTTCTTCTAGTTATAATGTATTTTTGGCTTTACTACTTTAATTATGTTAATCTCAAATGTTGTTATAAGATAAAAGTTTTAATCTGTAACCTATAACACATTGATAAGTTCAAGATAAAGGCAGTTGGTGCTACTAATAGGCTTGGATAAATTGAGGCTCCTCGAGTGGAAGAACGGGCTCATGGCTATTCAGGATAGAGTTGTAAACTGCCACTTCAAAGCTGGATACATTTAGGCTACCTTTGAGCCATCACTTGGACATAAAATATGCTGCCACCTCCACCATGCCCCTATCTTCCATTGAAATACAGTTTTGGATGTAGAGGTATCAAAGAGCTTTCTCTTCTTTTTTTAAGGTTGAGTTGCTATTTATGTGACGAAGCCTCTAGAATGTATTGAAGCATGTGAGAGTGGTCTTTTTTGTAATTGGATTGTTTTTATCTTACATATATTTACAAACCTCATTATGGAGTCGACTTGTTTACAGGTCGAAATGATGCACAAAGCTGGTCTCATTCAAGGGGGATCACTGGAAAATGCAATGGTTTGCAGGTGCAATAGCCTTTGCTACATTTACTGTTGCTTCAGTTATTGGTGGTTGTCTCATAAATGTCGCTTTAGCGCTAACAATATTATTTATTTCATATGTCATTGGGCTTTATCTTGTTGGAAAAAGATAATATGTTACCTGCAAAATACGATGATTCATTGTCATCTTGTTATGTTTTCTTTCCTGTCTTTCCATCAATATTTTATCTTTGCATCAATATTTCTTTTCTCATAGCACAACAAACCTAATAGTACTTATTAACAAATTAAATAACAGTAATCTATATAACGGCAAGTCCAAATCAGGAAAGGCGCACTTCACTGTCTCTTTTCCCCCTTTATATTCTGGCATTTCCCTTAAAACAAATAATAACAAATTCACATAAGCATGATCGTTTTATTTACAGGCTGGTCATTCACTGCATACTGAATTTGTGCGCCACTGACATACATTGTATGGTCGAGCCAGGTCATAGTGTAATTAGGATTTAGTGTATATGAGAATCTTCCACAAGATATCAACCTTAGACTGTTTTTTACAAATGAATTGTTGTTTTTTACAAATTTTGGTATTCATTTATAATACTCTTGACAGAATTTGCACTCACTTGAATTTTTCAACTTGATCAATTCCTTCAAGTTCATCTCGTCTTAGCATTTTCTATTCTCTCACATGCCATATCGTCGGCGTGGTCTTCTTACATGCTATCTCTTATATGTGCTAGCTTGTCCACATTCTTACCCTTTTCTTATTCACTGGTATAACAGAGCAGCGGTGATTCTGGTGCTAATGTGAAGCGCCTTGAACAAGAAACTGAGAGCAAAATCCTCCAGCTGAAGGAACAATCATCACGTGTCTCTCGCGATGTGGGTGATATGCTCTTGAGGCAGGTCACAACCGTAAAGAATTAGCTTTCAGCGTGTTTATGGCTGTGAAGGAATATTCAATATATTTATGAATATATGTATGTGTTGTGAGGAAATCTCTCCCCAGATCTTATAATCTTTTTTTTTTGATAGACTCGGAGTCTGTGGAAATAAGGAGCCTAGGACTCTTATAATTCCTAAATTGTCTTTGTTGTCTGCAATTGTTCCTGTATCAATTGTTCAGACTAGTTGGTCTGCAATAAAATTTGTCTATGTTTTCTGTGAAGGAATTTATCATCAGTCGCTGAAATTACTTCATTTTTTGTCGGATATATATATGTATATGATGTCTTGTGGTCCCCAATCTTTGACTTGACTGTGTTGGTAGCCAGTAAATTTTTATATAACATCCCTGACGGGCTTGCCGTCGGGGATGTTATGCACATCCCTGACGGGCTTGCCGTTAGGGATGTTTCAACATCCTAGATGGCGGGCGTCGTCAGGGAAGATGCCGTCAGTAATGCTTATTACTGACGGCTGCCCGTCAGGGATGTTTCTTCCCTGACGGGACTTTTCCTGACGGCATATCCTTGACGGGAAGCCGTCAATGATATGTATTGCTGACTGGAAATTTGGCATCCCTGACGGGAAAGCCCGTCAAGGATACCCATTTTTCTACTAGTGAGTGGATGCAAATGAGCTACCTCACTACTAACTTGTGCTTGGTACCAAGTTCGTCCATATTGCTCTATACACACACATAGAGAAATAAAAATATGTATAATAACTGGAATTTTCTCAAGAAATACAAGTTTCTTCACATAGAGGCTAAAGACCTTCTTTCCTTATGGCAACGATGAGGGTGATGAGAGGAATTATATTGTCATCCACCACATGCACAGAGACCTTAATGGCCCAAAGCCGGCATTTAACATAATGAAGGTTATGCATGTATTATTGTTATATTGTGACTCAAATTACTAATCTCAAACCAGTTCTTTGATTGGCCTGCTTGAATGGCCGAGACTTAGTGCTGCTAATGTCTTAAGAATCTTGGATTAGTTAATATTAAGTTGTTGGTTATTAGAATTCTAAAATCAGTAGGCTATCCTAAAGCATCATGGCTCCCACGTCAAAATAGCAATCCATACACATGGGTGTGTTATTGTTCAAATTATCATTGGATGAGAACTAAGGGAGATAAAGGCTTTTGGAATTAGTAGAGATAGCAAGTTCAAGTAACAAAAGAATTCCTATCCAACTTTATATTCAGAGCAGCTATGAATAAATAGAGCAAAGAACATCTTCAAGATCAATACATCAAAAAAAAGAACAATGTTCTCTTTTGAAGCGGCAAGAGATAATTTGGCTTTTTGGTAGCTCTCTATTTGTTGTTCTAATTAATTAGAGATTGAGAGAGAGATTGGTTGAGATTATTAGGGTGTTATTTGAGATTGAGTTATTGAGAGATTCCACTTTGTATTCCTTACAATTTAGCAAAACTATTCTCCTTCTTTGCTTGTGGAAGTAGACTACAAGTCGAACCACGTATATCTTTGTGTTCGTGTATTCTTGATATTTTTCGTGCTCTTGTGTGATTGATATTAGTTTATCCTAGGGATTTATCATAACAAATTGGTATCAGAGCCCTCAGCTATCTAACGGACAAGAAGATAATGACAACCACAAGAAGTGAGATATCGAGAAGTTTGACGGCAACATCAGTTTCAGCCTTGGCAAGTTAAGATGATCGCCATGTTAACACTGAGAAGATTGTCGAAGGCTTTGTTCGGGAAAGTCAAAGAAACGACTACTATGACGAATAAAGATTAGAACGAGTTGGATGACAGAGCTCTCACAACAATCCAGTTATGTTTGAAAAATAAAGTTTTGCATTAAGTTCTTATAGAGAAGACAACCACTGATTTGTGTTCTAAGTTGAATGATTTTTATTTGACGAAGTCGCTCACTAATATCTTTCTTTTGAAGCAGCGTTTGTACACACTTCGGATGTCAGAAGGAACACCCATCAATCTCATGTTGGTGAATTTAATTCTGTGATTACAGATTTGAGTAAGATTGATGTTAAGATCAATGATGAAGATCAAGCTCTATTGTTATTATGCTCTTTGCCGCCTTTCTACAAGTACTTCAGGGATACTATGATTTATGGTCAAGATTCTATTGGCATCAAGGACATCAAAGAGAACTTGTTGAATAAGGAGAAGATCGATAAAGAGTCAACCACAAGCAAAAATGGTGATAAAGCTAATGGCTTGCTTGTTCGAGGAAGATCAAAAGAAAGGGGCTTTGGAGGTAACATTATAAGTCGAAGCATAGGAATCTGACTTGTAAATATTGCAAGAAGAAAGAGCACATCAAGACCGATTATTACAGATTGAAGAACAAGAATAAACACGAAGAGTATGAAAAAAATCAAAGGAAGACTTTGCTGAAGTTGATATTGCTGAATATGTGATTTTGTTGGCTACAGATGATAAAAACACGACCATGAAGATTGGATTTTGGATTCGTTATACCTATAAGATGTGTCCTAATTAGGACTAGTTCACCACTTATGGCTTCGCCCTGCTCAGGTATAGTTCACCATCTTTCGAGTCCCAACAGGCATGCTCCCACTCGAACCATTCACAGAAGATCGGGGTCAGTCGGAGGTTCACCCCGCGAGGGGGATCCCGTGCATCAGCTTCCTTGAGCCTTCCGGGTTTCAACGCCCGTTGGCTCTTACGCATGTTAGACTCCTTGGTCCGTGTTTCAAGACAGGTTGGACGGGGAGCCCGTGGGCTAGTGCCAAGAGTTCGCTTGTGCCTTGAAGGGCACGTCGAGGTAGCTCGCGCTGCATCCTTGGTCGTATTGGTAGCGTGTCCATGGACGGGATCTACCGCCCGGGCTTAGGCCGTCGGTGCGGCCCGCAATGGTCCACGCACCGAGCCGAGCGACGGACCAGCCCACGTAATGGTTCAACCTCAATTCTTCATCCCTCTTTATTTAGAAAAGTTTTTATAAACTCATTATCTAGCTTATTTTCATTTTGATTCTTATGTATTTGCTAGATTAATTTGAGTTTAATTTTCATTATACTCATTGTTTACACACACAACAACTTGAGCTTTAATATTACACATATTGTATATTTAGGTTGTGGGGTTGTTACGTTGAGAGAGAACTTACAATTTCATTCTCAGTTGTTTAGAGAATAAATCTTTATTTGAGCTTATCATTGTGAAACACGTGTGATACACAAGAACACTTATAGGAGTGGTTCGGAGAAGAACATGATCAATTGCAAGATGAGTGGCTTAGTTGCAAAAGCCTAGGGAGAGGTAGTAATTTCAAGCACTTGAGGAAGGTGACACAGGTCAGCCAACACTTACAGAAGTGTATTGTGTGATTATCAATGTGTGAGTTGTAAAAGTTTTTGGTAAGCTTTGAAAACTGATTATGTAGTTGTGTTTATTGATAATGGGTAATCTCCCCGAGGTGAGGAGTGGAAACATAGGTCGAGGGTTGACCAAACTCTGTGATCATATTGTTTGTTTGTATTTGGTATTGGCGCACTTATCATTGTCTCATTGTTTATATCACATATTGCTCATTGTATATCCTTGTAGATCTCATTGTACATCATATTGCTAGGATATTTCATTAATAAGTTTTATTTTGACATTAATATCGGGTTAGATTAGCAAATACTCTATTCACCCCCCTCTCTAGGGTATTTTCATGATATCAGAGCTTGATGATCTTGATTTGTGGCTTAATCCCCTAGAGTCAAAGATCCTCACTTTGATTTATTGCTAATCTAGTTTTGTGATTTTTTCTTGCTTGCATCATAATTATGGATATGCATTGTGCACCTAGTTTAGGCTATGATATTAATGTTGCTCTAAAATTTATTGTTTTCTCTTATGCTCAATGGATGTTTGGATTTAAATTATTTGTTAGATCTAAACATATCGACTTGAGGGAAGTAATTGAGTGTTCTTACATCTTGCCTACTTTGGAGAAATCCAAGTGGAGCAATTATGATAAAAAATGTTTACAATGAACAAGCTCTTGTTAGAATTCTTGCTTAATGCTTTTGACTCATCTATATCTAACAAGCTTGCTTGTTTTGATAGTGCTTACAAATTATAGAAATTTATAGAAACACATCAAGAAAACTTGGAGGAGATCCGATGTGTTTTGGGGGATTTCACTTCAAGTGAGATTAGAGTTTCATCATGCACACGACCACTAGGCAAAAGACCTAGTGAGGTATGCGAGTCCGATTCAGAAAATGAATTATTTATAAATGAAATCGCTTGTGCTTAAGAACGATTAATGCATGTCTACAACAAATTGCATCATAATTTTATTGATATGAAAAGCAAGTATGTAAATTTAAAATTCGATCATGAGTTACTAGCATCCAAGTTTGATATCATTGTTAAAGAAAATGAGATACTCAAAAAAACAATGATAAATTAAAATAGGATAATGATGCTTTAAACTTAAATATGGCTAGCTTAACTCATGACAAAAATGATGTCATATTAGAAGTAAAAACCATTAGAAATGAATTTAATTTTTTTAAGAATGATCATATTTGTTCTACTTCTAATGTCAATGCAAATGTGCTTAATGATGAGTTGAAAAATGTGAAAAACTGCATTTTATCTTTAGATTCAACTTTAAATATATGCATTGTCAATAATAAGAAACTTATAGACTTGTGTGCTAAGTCGTGTACCAATGCTTCTAAATCATCCGTACACTATGCACACATGTATAGCAAAATTTATAAATACTATATTTGCGGTCGTAAATGCCATCTTGCTAAATTTTGCTATGATGCACATAAACATACAAATTCTAACATTATTACCCCTTGTGCATCTCATAAAGTTTCCTCACCACACACACACAAACATGCACTTATTGATCATCATAAGCATGAGAATGTGTTTAAATGTAATTATTGTGGTAAATTTGATCATTTGGCTAAATTTTATTTTGATTTAAGAAAGGTTTCACATTTACAAAATGCTTCTAAAAGACCAACTTTATTTGCATATGTTACTCGTGCACATTCATATGGTCAATAAAAAAAAATGCATCCATTTCATTGCACTTATTGTAATAGAATGGGTCATTTGCGTGATTTTTGCTATGATCGGACATGTGTACTAAATGCGCCCAAATGAGGTCATAACCCAAGAACATTGAATTTTATTGATAGGGGTCATGTCCCTTAACTCTTTGGTACCAAGAATGTTTGGGATACCTAAACAAGTTTGATTTTAAAAGAACAAGTTTTTAGCGTT